TGCATACTTCTTTTAACGGCAGAATGATGGTTTTAACTTTTGAATAACGAGTGCTTCAGCTATATGCAGATGTCTTAGACTTACTCCATTCAACTGACTTGGTTGCACTGTGGACAAGATTTTCCAGGATTTATCAAAATGTCCTAAGTTTCCTGAGCTGACTAAATGTTCTGTTACAGAGATAAAGGTCCAACTGCGTTCTCCCCTTGCTAATCAGGTTGAGTAGTGTTCGCGAGCACTACTCTCATGCTAGCGTATGGTACGGCTTATGATAAATATCTGGGCATAGATGAAGTATAAACAATTCAATAGAGGCATGTTAAACCCATTTCTTTGCTATGGCCGTCGTACAGTACCGATCACTTTAAATAATTCCCTTATGATGTAACTATATCTTATTTTGTAATAATCTGTCTATTTCTTTATTTTATATTTAATATATATATGTATATTACGTGACTTTTCTTCGTCATACAATTTTTCTTGACCTTTGACAGGAAATCACTGTGATATATTTAATCGTTTTGACTATTTAGTCAAAAGTGTTCAGCTAAGAGGATGATTTTATCGAAAAGGAAATTTTTTTTTTGTTTCAATCGTCTTCTCCCTTTTCCTACTACCGAAAGGGTTTGTTCTGATAATTATTGGTCCCTATTTTTGAATGGCAATCTAGTTAATGTTAACATGTAGTGAAATCGTTGTAATGATACTTGCAATTTCCCGTTGCTATACATGACCGAAACGCTCAATTTCTGCCGTTGGCAGATGGGCGCCTATGCAGATGCCTCGACACTGCCGACTATTTATGATGTCCTACAAATCTTGGTGACTATCAGATGAATCCTGGAAGTGGTTTTCGTTCTATTTCGGCCTCTTCAGCTGGATGCACTGTATCCCAGTGAGTGATATAGTTTCTATTGACACTCAGACCCTGTTCCCCTCGCTTCAAACGCCAGAGCGTTATCCACTGAGACACTGAGGCACAGTGGCCACCTCTTGTGCAACGGGTACCAGAGGTTGGTATCATAGATTAAGCAATTTGGCCCAGTGTACCAACGTAAAATTACAAGTTTCATTGGTGGATAACGCTCTAGTGTTCGAAACGATGAGAACTGGATTCGATTCTCAGTGAATACAGCATCACTCCGCAATGGAGTGCAGGTAGGTCCAGATGACTAGTGAGTCCCAAATAGAACGAAACGAGCGTACTGGATTCCTCTACTAGTCACTAAGATCAACATATAATGAAATCGCCGTTCAGATTGATTGGTTCTTCAAAAGTCACTGGCGCAAATAATTGTGACGTAGTATTTAGCTCCATATTCATTAATTGTAAATTTGAAGCCCAACATTCTAGGTGTGTTTGTGTCCACAAATAATAAAGTCAATACTGTACACCTTTTCAGTCATTTAGATAATGAACCACTGCATAATTAATTCCACAATTTTCCTTCTGTATATGCTTAAGCTAAATTGCCTTTCTTGAAAGGCATTATCATAGAAAAGTTCCTCAAGAACCAAGATCATCTGAAGAACTAATACCAATAGAAGTATGTTCAGCTGTATTCATCCCTTGTCTTATTATGAACCAAACTAATGACATTCAAATGAAGTGTCAGATATGTCGGAAGTTTGAGTTGATCGATTCAGAAATAAATAATTTTATTTCCATAAACATTTGTAGGAAGAAGTTAGCACCTAACCATCCTTTTGACTTTTGAAGGAATCATTAATATACAAAGCTGATACAGCCTGTAAATACCTAAAAGACACTTCTACTAAGCGTCAGTACAATGGTCGGTCACTGGAGAGTACCTATTTTTACGTTGTCTACTTATAAGACTTGATCGAATTCTACTAGTCTATTTGCAATAGGGACATCACGCGTCAGGTCCTTGAAAGGAACCACGATAGAAAGCTACGAGTTGGGTGTCCCAGCTGTGGGTGACATGCAGGAGATCGTGCGAAGAGGAAATGAGAGCTTGTGGGCTGTCATGGAGCCAGGTTCAGAAAATTTCAGAGAACAGAGTGGAATGGAGAAGTGTTACTGAAGCCCTATGTTCCACTAGGAACCCAAGGGACAAATAAATAATAATAATTTGCAATGGGATCATCAAGCAAGGATAATCAATATCATGATGGACTTTGATTTATTTTGGATGGTTACAATGAAGTTATATTATCTTACTGTTTTAAAATTTTCACTTCTACACAGTTTTCAGATTTCTGTCAACCTCTGAGGTTTTTCGTGGGTTTTGTTCTCAAAGTTGTATTCATCTCCATGAACCTTAAAGTACTCATTAGTCACATGATTCCAGGTGGATTTTTCAAAGTTCTAATGATAAACCGTTACCTGTAGGGTCAACCAGTCGGAGAAGAAGTAAATGCCAACTAAAAACTTTGGTGGATAGTTTTACTATACCGCAACTTGACAAAAATAAGAAACTGTGGACGATCAAACTCCGACATAGGACAGAGACAGTTAACACGTTCACCGCAACACTTGAAGGTCCTGAGTACGAGTCCTGGCAAGGTGGGTTATGGTTATGTACTTCTAAGGTGTCTCATCCTATGATGAAACAGCTTCCGAATGCAGTCACTTTTTTAATGGCTCTCTAACTGATGTCTGTTCATGGTGAATACGATCTTCAAGCCAGTTAACTTCATTTATCACAGATGACTGAATATGGGTTATTCGACCAGGGATTTATAGTTGATTGTAAACTGGACTCAACCTGATCACACTTAGAACTTACCAAAACTTAAAAACAAAGGTGTCCAGATGGATTTTATTCCAATGTTATCTTCCACTTCAAAATGTTTTTCACACTTAGCTTGGATCATTTGCTATAGTATTTACCCGAATTGCTGGATCTGATTAAACATTTCTACCATGCAATTTGGAGATTAGTAGGAATTTATTGATTTCAGAATGGGGAATCATTGAAAACCTGAGATCACTGGTGGTGAATTGTAATTGACTACGAATGACTTCAGTGGTTTCCATCAAAAAAAACCTAGAAAAAAATCAATTTTTAGCATCAGTTGGGTCGGATGGCTCAATCTACTTCTGAAGCTACTTCGGAATATGTCCTATGGCACTTATTTCCAATCACCGGATAGATATGTCATTAATCTTTCCAATGTTAAACTATCCACTTATCAAAAAAGGCCTTAGCCGCTAAACTAAATTCTTGTGTTTTCAGATTTGGAAATCCATGCAGAGTTTGAACATCTTTTCGACTAACTTAAGTCCTTTGTTCCAACTTCAGATGATGATCAGGTTGGTTTAAAACTAAGCTGGTGGATTTAGCTCATGAGTTCTCCAAAGGTTGTCTGAGACATAAAAGCATTTTAATGCTTAAACATTTCAGAGGTTTGAAGAAACTATGCCTACATTCAGATATTACCATGCTCAGAAGTGATAAAGTTTCAGAATTTTTGATCATAAACAGAACCGATTACTTATGCAAAATGTTCTCTATTCTAGATGATGAAATTAAATTCTGTCGGATTGATTCTATGGAAGATGTGTAAGTATAACAGGGAACTGTAATGACTAACCGAACGTAACTCCTCAGTTTAAACAGTATATACTGAGGATAAGTTCGACGCATTAAAGCCAAAAGAATCCAAATTCCCATATTTATATGTCCTACCCAAAATACGTGAGTTCAGTTGTCTTCTTAGCACTGTTTTTTCAATGCATAGATCACTAACACATTAACTCATTCATTGCCTAGTAGAATTATTGATCCCAATCAAAAGATGGTACTGTGAGTATATTTTGAGAGATATATTTGGGTTAATTGACTACCTTGTTGATATTAATCTGTGTTATAAAACTATGTATTCTTTTAATGTCATCTTCCTGTTTACTAATGTCTCCTTGATCAAAACAATTAACATTTTGTGTGATTAAATCTCCACCAATAATTTTTTCAATCCTAGTCACTTTATCCTATTTTAAATATTTATTACTTTTATGTACTAACAATATAAAGTTCACCTTTGATGACAAATATTTTTGCCAGATTGATAATGTTGCTATGGGGAGCCCTTGAGTTCCCTTTTTACAGATATTTATATGACATATGTTGAAACGTTATCTGAGAACTTAATTGAAGGTATTCCATTTTATAAAAGGTATGCGGATGGTATTTTAATCATAAGTGATGATCCATGTTGTGCTACTTCACCTCTGAATCGAACGAACATAGTACAGAATAGCATATCTCTAACAAGTGTAGAAGAGAATGACAACTATCCATCTTTCTTAGATGTACTGATCGATCGATGGCATGATGGATCAGTGACGCGATCTATTTATAGAAAGCCTACTTGAGAAGGGCAATACTAAAACAATTACAGTTTTTTGCTTGTTCCAACATAAACTATGCTTAGTTAGGTGCTTTATTTAATCAAATTCAGCGAATATACACAGCTGATAAGTTGGAAGAAGAGATAAGATTATTGACGTAGTTACTAATTTAGAACCACCACCCACTAAAGTTTATAAGTTGACATAAAGTGGACAGGACACTGAGAAATACTGCTGACTATGTCTCTAGGAAAGATGTTCTCATCAAGCTACCATATATTGGCGATACAAATAGCTTAATAGTCAGACAGAGACTCGACGCTGACATAAAGAAAATGTATTATGCACCTGAAGTCTGGATAATTGAAAATTCGACGCCTATATACCCGTCACAGCCCTTGGAACAAGTGAAAGATGAAGTCATATCATATCCCATTGTTTTTACCATTTTAATTGTATGCGTGATCACACTTATATAGGGAGGACTCATAGGTCATTGATGCTAGTAACAAACGTTAATAGCTAAAAATCAATGTTTACAATGCTGAGACTACTAAAATTTCATTCACTACTTAATATACTACTGAGTATTCACATATATCCAACAGAATGTATTATAACAATAAATCATTTCGTGAAACAAATTGGAAGAAAACAGAAATAAAGAAAACCCACTTACTTTGTCCATCACATTTACGTATAATTGTATCCAAGAATGTATTTTGTGGAGCAAGTAATCCACGTCGTGTTGTAAACATAATTGTGTAATTAAGATGTGGCTAATAGTATATGATTCCACAGAGTTTATGTATAAGATATTTAAAATAGTAATTGAAATTATAATACTGTATCACATATGTCTACTTATTTTATATTTAAGTAGTAGCATACACCATTAATAATTATCTTAACGTCATAGTTATAAAGCTTGTTAGTAATATGGCATAGATTTACATTTACATTTTTCAGATTGTTTCATTTTAGGAAAGTCTTGTCCATTAAATTACATCATCCAGATAAAAATCAATAAAAACTAACAGAGGAGATGATTAGCATAGTGATAATTCCTGTAAAAATTAAAAATCCCAACAGACTAGAAAGTTTGTGTACATGTCATATATTCGTCAGGAGAGATAAGTTGTCTTTTACGTTCAATAACTAATTTATTTAGTATAGTCTCTAATTGTCTTACTTCAACATACATGCAAATATATGTATGAAGGAATGAACTCACACATGAAAGCTTATCAGTCTCAAATATGCTTAAAAAAGAATACTCGAAGTGATGAATTGGTGAATAGACAGGTATAACGTGTTTATCTTACTATCAGGAAATTATTCTACTGGTTCATAAATGTTTCTACACTTAGTTAGGAGATGAGATGTACTCATCATTTAAATCTTTTCTTCTCAAATTTTTATATTGGCTAGTATTAAATAGATAAGTTGTTTAGTTCGAGAACAGAAAGAGATTTATATATGCCAAAATCATTTTTACTAAGATTGATTCATATACATTGATTATTGAATTTGTATGTACTGAAGGAGAAAATGCAAAGTTCAGACATAAAGCTTATACTTTATGTACTGTGGTTAAATAAATCTAGCATGATATAATTCCTCAGGGTATGAAAAAACGAAATGATTATATAAGAATCAGTATTTTTTTAAAAGGATAGTTTAAACAAAATGATGTAACTGTCTTCACATATGTTCAAGGGATTCTGTTGAGATTTAATCTAACCGACAGCTTGACTTCTTAGTTCAGGTTGTATAATACCATGCTGATAACTAAGAAGATATTCGTCTTACCAGAACTCAGGTATCCACTCCACTTTCAATCATCATTGTGTATCAAGTTAAATCGAATCTAACTTAGTTGAAATATTCTGAATTTTTTAAGCAAGAAATTAATGATTATTGACTTCTGATACAACGGGCTACCTTACAATTAAGAGTAAACTTAAGAAAATAATAGAAAAAACACCGATGTAGATTGTTTAAGGGTTCCAGAAAAACTAAATGGGGAATCTATTCTGTGTAGTTGCAGTGATGCTTCAAATCAATTTCTAATGAGAACTTTTTTTATGTATTAAGTTTTTTGACCTGTTAATAATAATAATTATTATTATTTGTCCCTTAGGTCTCTAGTGAAAGATAGGGCTTCAGTAGCATGTCTCCATTCCACACTCTTCTCTGCGACCTTTAGAACCTCACACCATGACAGCTCAGAAGCTCTCATTTCTTCCTCACACCATCTCCTCGATGTCACCCTCAACCCGGACGCCCAACTCGCCGTTTCCCATCTGGGTTCCACTCGACTACCTGGCGCGTGATATCCTCGAATGGTCTTCTCAGTGCATGCCCAATCCATCTCCGCTTCCTTCCCTCTGCATATTTGTCGGTTCGTTGCCACAGTGCCTTGTTGCTTATTCTTATTATTCCGGCCATCTGGTCTTCAGTAAAAAGCGTAGACAGTTGTTGATGAATATCTGTAGTGTTTATTGGAAGTGTTTTTCGCAACGCGCTAAGTCTCTGAACCCTCACATGGAAGCACTGACTTGATATTGGTGTCGAAAATTCAAATCTTGTTCTTTAAGCTGAGCGGAGTGCATCCGCACCGAAGCCCATATGCTAATAGAGACCGATCAATTCGGTCCAATCAACGACGGTGTAATACAAACAATAACACTGCAACTATACTCGTCGCACAAGAAGTGGCAATTGTTACTCAGTGGTGTGGTGGAAAACGCTCTGGTGTTTGAAGCGGTTGCTCCCGAGTCCGAATCCCGGTGAGAAAAACATCACTCACTGGGAAACAGGTACAGCCAGCTGACGACTCCCAAATAGGACGAAACGAGCATCCTGGATTCCATTGCTAGCTGCTTATTATCTTTATTATCATTACTATTATTATTATTATTATTAGAACTGAATATTTAAGATAAAAATAATGCATACAATATACTTTCACAAATAAACAAGGAGTGTTTGGATTGAAATCATATGTAACAATCACTGAGGTTGCACGAAAGTGATGAAATTTAATGAAGTTTTCAAAACTTTTCAAGGGTTAACTATTTATATAGTGGAAGAACTAACATTCTAGAAAAGATAGCAGAAGTGGTACTGGGTTGTGTGCTACATTATTCTACAGTTGGTAAAGAGTGGCATCATAATTAAACAGGCATTATAAAAGCTTTTCAGCTTTCTCTGGTATCAAGTAAATAGATTACGATTTCACTTTTAAACACTGCGGCACCCTAGGACTTCACTCATTTGGAGGAATGTCCAGAAATGCAAACCGAAAACCTTTTGTCAATTTTTCTAATATATGTGTTTTGACACATACACACGAGCCGGTAGTTGCTGTTTCATACACAAAATCAATGTAGAACTTCGCACACAAATGCAGTGGTTTAACTTGTTACAATTCCCCGTAGTATATGAAGAACAAGTGGATAGTAATGACCGATAATAAAGTAGATAAAAGTGTATGAGAAGAAATGGAATCTTAAAATTAAGATTAATGAAACCATTCAGCCATTAAAGACGTCAATGAGGGAATATATTTGGGCCGTTTTCACCGGTTTTCGTCCATTTTATCAAGAGTAAACTGTTGATTTTTGATGTCTTCAGAACCCAGACCAGGTAGTCTACACCTAATTATACGGCTTCAACCAGTAGTCAGGAGTTTCATGAACTGGTGTTGCGTGATAGTCTGGCCAACCTGAATCCTCTTTCAATCTAATCCAAATTCTGTTCATATTACACGTCTAGGTATATGGTGCCTCGGTCTGCATAAAACATGATCAAGCCTGGCATCTCAGTCGATAAAAGTTTACAGCTTCATCAAATGACTCGCCAGTTGTGTTTCTTATCCTTCGCCTGTCCCTGATATTACTGATATAGTGATTCCACGAAATGCGAGCAGTGTTACATATGCACCCCTTGATCTCTTCTACTCTCAATTCACCAAGGAACTTGTTCATTGGTACGTCTACGACGAAACTGAATAGGAATGGTGATAGTGTGTATCCCTTCCGGACACGATCAGCTGTTGGCAATTCGGATAACAACTCTCCATAACCCCATGAAAGAAAAAAATTGTATAGAAATTCTGGGATTAAGTGATTTCAGAACGACGATATATTTCAAGCTTATCTCAACTAGTTTATGTAATAATCAGTTTAACAGTTTTTGATCTTCAATATAAAATGAACCTATTAATCATCTGTTTCAACAATATGTTGTATCTTATGAAACTACTTACTTCAATTTCAGTAGTAAAGATAAAAATTGACAAAATATTTCTTCAAAATTAAATATCATCTGTTTAATCAATAATAACTTTCAAAGTTAACCATTAAAATCTCAAAACAATAACTGAAGATAAAATACTATTCATCTGGTTAATTAATATTATAAATCTATTGAAGGTGAACTGCTAAAATGTACACGAAGTGACAAAAAGAACTTCAGTCATGTCTCTTAAAAAGATACACAATCCGTGGTAAAAGATCTCACTTAACAGTGTCTCCTCGATATCACAGTTGTTGTCAAACTACTCATTAACAGGATAAGTTTCAGACCACTTACGCATAACAGCAATGCTCAGTAATCAGTTTTTAGACTACGCTGACCTGTGAAGTCAATTAATCAGCAATACACGCTAACGAGTTTTTTTCTTTCTTGTCTCCTGTCATCTGTGGCTCTTTCGTTAAGGCACTTAATTTCCAGCCGGCGGGTTTTTATTTCAAATACCACTCCAGACACCAAGGTTTAGACAGCTAAGTAGTATCATGAGGCATTACACAATTGGTATGGCTCATTGCCTACTGCACAAATTTGCCCAAGACTACTAAGTACATTTCGATTTCGATTCGCTATCATCTGCAAAATAATCTCACAAGCTGGCTATTTTTCCAATTCTTGTACATTGTAGGCGGGAATATAAGTTTATTTATTGATCTCGAGTACTTGTTTCAAAGCAACGGTTATAAACATTCAGCAATTAAGAAAACATATTTGAGTAAGTATAAGTGAAAACTTGGGCACTGTGGTAGGATTTAACTCCCTCTTAGATCTGTTTATTTGATAATAACACAGCGATAAAGTATTATTTGCTGATTGACGTTTCGAACATCAGTTGTCATTGCTCATAATCTTATCAATATGTAATCATAACACTTTCGACATCTGATTTTGTTAGATTCAAGAAGAGTGGTTTTATCCCACCTACACGATTATGTGGTTATCTGTTAATCCATTCATTCATCGTAGTAGCCTAGTGTTCTTCTAGATTATTGATCTAATTGGGGTCTGTCATCCTATATTAACCTGAATTTCTATGTTCCGCTACTCCAACCGACCTCGACCGGCTAGTTTCACCTATGTGCCTGACATCACAGTCATTAAGTGGAATTTGACAGATTAGATTACTCTAGTTCTATCGGATCCTGAAGCCAGCAGACAAGGCTTATCTTAGATTGAGATTGTAGGTCTAAATGTAACTTTAATTCCAGCTTTTTTGAGAATCCTACGTAAAGTTTCTGATGTACCTTCCTTCTACTCGTGTCACTGTTATTATTTCGCTTCTTATGTGTCCGTACGAATTTCTGTATAAACTGTAAATAAACTGTAAATAAATAAATAAATGAATAAATAAATAAATAAATAAATAAATAAATAAATAAATAATAAACTGTAAATAAACTTTGAACATTTCCATCAATCGTCATTAGTTACTACACTCCAATACAGTGTTATGATAAAACAGAACTGTAATTGGAATTTAACTTTCATAACTCAGTCGGTAGGGCATCAAGTCAATATGTCACCATTTTCTACTTTGATCCCTTATGAAACTGCCAATATATTTCACATCCATATTATGGTTGACTGACTACTTGCTCTCAAAGGTCAAATGATAACCATTGTGGGAGTTGTGGAGATTTGGAATTATTTCAAGTTGTTATTCATTGTAGACTGACATCAGTTGGAGGAACAAAGGAAACCTGGGAGCACTGGACAGCTGTTTCGTCCTAGTATGGGACTCCTCAGCAGTGCGCACCCACGACCCCACCAGCAGAGATCGAACCCGTGAACTTCAGGTTCCGCGGCCAGCGCATTACCATTGAGCCACTGGGTCAGAATCCAATGCTCCATATTTCCAACTTCCGTTAGCTCACGATATATAGCGCAACCGCCACCCAATGTCATCGCCGAGTATTTGTCCTCATGGCCGTCAGGCAGTGACCCGG